AACATCCTCAAGTACATCCTCCTCACTGCGATCTGTACTATAGACCATACGAAAGTACTTTCCCAAGGAGAATCACAAAAGTCGAACAAGAGAATGCTCTTGGTGCTGATTCAATAGACCACGTTGCGAACATTACGAAGTACTCCGATCCGAATTCTAGAGTTTTGAAGAAACGCGGCGTAAAAAACCTCCAGTGCAGTCCTGCTTAACCTCAGCATGTATGTAAATCTATGGTGTAGTGGAAGATTTGACAGAACCTTTACTTTATTTGTAACCTATCAATCTCCGAGCAAAGCCGTAGAACATACTGAATTAGCACTTCGTGGGTCTGTCTTCAAGCGCTGAGGCAGCGTTCAGACTTCGTAATGACGCGGGTCGACCAACTACCATCGCAGTAGCGCTCCAATGCTGTAGACAGGAAGGCAGTCAGAGACGGGTATCGATCGGCGCCAGCCGCCAATGTTTTGAAGGGCATGGGGTAATAGAGGGTTGGCGTAGCCTAACCACATAGGGCACTATTTACCCTTTACTGCCCCAATCTTCCGAAAACAGGCCAGTTTTTGACCGACTTTTTCTGCGTTGGCAGAATTGGCTGAAAATTTGTTCCTGGGTAGTTTGACCTCCTGAACATGAATATCACATCCGCTCAACCCGAAACCTCCTTGGCGCCCGCGCTACAGGCGCTGGCGCCAAAATACCCCAAATCACCGGCGCCTGTGGCGCGGGCGCCAGGAAGTTTCGGGCTGAGCGAATGTGATATTCGTATTTAGGAGGTCAAATACCCCAGGAGACAACATTTGAGCCAAATCTGTCCACGGAGAAAAAAGTCGGTCAAAAACTGGCTCAATTCTGGATGGTTGGGGCAGTAAAGGGTAAATAGTGCTTCACATGGTCTGATCGGCCCCGGTCGCTAGTATATTGGGAGAGTAGAGAAGAAGAACGGCTCCCCAAACGGTGTGATCAGGCGAGCCCTACATTCATATTATCCCACATTCTTTCGGAATACTGGAGCCAGTTAATACCCGTCTATGGCCATGTTTTCTTCTGTAACGCCATTCCACTGCTCCATGAGCCGTGCTGGAACGCTATTCCAGTGCTCCATGAGCCATCATCGGAAAGAATGACTGGTTCCTACCTTGCCAAAGAGCCTATTTTCATGCTCTCAATGAAACTTCCTTTTCTCACTTTTGAAAGAGTTTGCGAGAACTACGTTTTTGTCGGATTTTTGACTGACCAATAGTGCTTGCTCAGATCGAAGTGTCTACGTCCAGAGATGAATATTGGCGCATGCCATGCATTTGATTGCCCATACTCATATTGCTTGTCTAATGGTCAACCGAAAACTGCGTATTCAGAATAACATCATACGAATAGGAGCCTGATTAAAGGCAGTTGGCACGATAATTTCATGCCCAGTAATGTAAAAATAGTGAAAAAGCGGGGCGAAATGGTGAGGAACGAAAGATGGGGCTTTATTTCTTCGCTGCACTGCGGCAGCGAACGAGCCAACGGCTGGGGTGGGCGCTGCTTTGGACGGTCTACCGATTGAACCGTTTATTATGTTATGTATGTTCTACGTCGCTCTACGTTACACTACATTACACGTAGGGACGAACGGCTCATACAGTATCCTCGTGCTGTGATGCTATATGTCCGATGGTAGGAGGGCAGGGGAGGTGGCGTCCGGGTCGGTATGTTACTGCTCTATAGGCGCTACAAGGGCACACCTCTTGAAAAAGGCGCTACGCAGCATGTGTTGGGAGTCACGGAATTCTGCCATGCTAGTCGTATTAATCCTACTCGTCTTAGGGATTTATTGTACCAGCTGCCTTCTAAGAAGGCAGGCAGCACTTGTTTGTCAAGAGAACTGTGTTTTCAAGGGAATAGGGCGTATCCATGTATAGGGGGGGCAAAAAAAGTCACTTTGCTTCATTGACTTTCGAGGCGCTATAAGTTACACTTTATAAATTCTGATCGGACATTTCTACCACCATAAAGAGCATATTAAATACTATTATGATACTCCGCCACAGCCTTCTGGAGGAGCGCCATCGAGAGATTCTGCCACGCGACCGTCAGTGGGTGCGTGAGTTCAGATCGTTGATTTCTCCGCCACTGTAGACCACCCTATTGAACTCCGCCCGAACCAGGTAATCAGAGGATTCAGGTCAGGTGACCTACTTGGATATTCCATCTTCTTTAGGTACTCAGCCCCCTTCCATTCCAAGTAGGCGAGAGTTTCTCCAACGCCCTTCGATTCCATGTGGTGGCACCCAATGCTGTAGCAGTACAAAGTTTCCAAGAAGGTACGGGCGACGACATGTGAGGAGGATATTCTTCACGAGTTGCTCGATGTAACCGCCAGCGCTCAGCTTCAGCCGGGGTCCACGAAGAAAATATTGGTCTTTCCATTCCAGGTGCGTCCGGTCCATACCATCAACCCGCGCCTTGGCGACTGCCGTGAAGATGATGTCCTAGACCGTAGCGACGTTGTCGGAGCTGCTCGATGTTGGAGGTCTTCCAGATTGAGAGTACTGGTCTCCAGGTAGCTATCCATGGGTGACTCCATACTAGAAGTGACATGAGTTCCAAAGGTTTTTTCCAGTCAGGCTGCGACTTGGGATGACCTCATATTTTGGTGTACATGAAAGTGATGGGCCAGGGCCAGCTCCTGCTTTATCGAGACATCTTGGGTATCTTCCGCCCTGGTACTCGTATCCACGTCTTCTCTCTGGGCTGCGAAAACTTTGCTGATATGTGACTCGGTCGAAGTGACTTTTTGCCTCCCCCCCTGTTAGCGCCACATTTCATTGCCTCAAACGCGCCACCGCTGTCCTTTCTCGCTTAACTAGTTTGTTTTTACTGGATCTTGTCTATGTGAACAATCCATATTTGGTGAAGAGTTTGAAAACCGTTTGATAGACGTGTATATGTAAAAAAAGCTTTGAAGCTTGCTGTGCCTAGAAAGTTTTTCAAGCGCTTTGTCGGCTCTCCCTCTATGCAAATAAGTGCGCCTTATACTCCAGACAATATGACTGATACTGATTTGGATAGTGTGTATTCAAAGGTGTTAGTAACACAACGTGTTTTAGGTGTGCCATCCCCTGCACCAGCATCTGTACCGCAGCCAGCGCCTGCACCGTCGCTCCCTTCTGCACCACAAACAGAGCTGGCACCAGCACCGTCTTCACCACTTCCAGAATCTAATAGCGTCATCGGTGGAGGAGGCGGAACTCCATCACTTCCATCCTATCCGGAACCACTTCCCACTGTGAAAACACCTGAATCACCTGTGAGAACATCAGGAGCGGAATCGCTACCTACACCAGCAGAAGAGCATTACTCTGGAGATAACACTGTAGGAGGTGGAGCTCCAGTAGCACCCGCCTCCTCTTCATCTTACTCAGCCACTTCTACTGTGACAAAGGAGGAAACGAGTGAATCGAACAACGTTCCTGCCTCCAGTAATTCAATAGGGAACGAAGAAGCCCCATACTCCCCTTCTCAAATACTCCCGGCAGCACCAAATCCAACAGCAGCACCAGCTGTTGTAACAACCACAACACAGCAAGCGTTTGTACAGGAGCAGGGCGGTGGTTCAGCAGAGAGCAGCTACAGGGATTCGAATGAAGATCGTTCAGAACCAGATGCTCCCCTCGTCCCAGTCCCAGCACCCGCCAAAACGTATACAGAAGTGAAACCCTCAAGTCAGCCTGAAAGTGTTATCGAAACTTCTGTACACCCAGTGGAGCAGCAAATCAGCATAAAAATGATGCCAGTTGAGCACCACGAAGAAAAGGAAGACATAGCTCCAGCTACAGCACCGGAGCAAGAGCTTCGGCCCGAGGCCATCATTCATTCCAGCCACAACCACGCCACATGCATCTGAAGCAGCTGCTTCTGGAGGCGGTGCACAGTATATAAACGTCTCCCCTTCACACGGATCCGAACAGTCACATACTGAAACTTCTCAACAAGTCTCATATGTCCCCGAAACTGCTCCATCGCTTCCCGAAGAACCAGAACCACAAGAGCCTGCTTCGAGTAATAGAGAAGAATCTTCATACAACAACCTTGAGGAAGACCACGAACAACCCAGTGGACCCGAGACAATCATTGACACTGTGAACACAGGGTAAGATACTTTGTGATAGGTAAAAATCCTAGATCAGTTCCTAGAGAAGTCGAGCATACAACGGTGCAAGAGTTCAGTGGCTCGCGATAGGTCTGAGTAGCTTATTTCCGCAACCTCTAGCCAGGAAGACGTGAAAAGTAGTATCCCTCTACAACAAGGTTGTGCGATAACTCCATAAGGCAGCGTTCATACTTCACGACAGCAGCGGCGACCTCGGTGACCTCGGCGATCGCCGCGATCGTCGGTACGTGGCAGAGCGCCCCAACGCTATTATGGACTGCTCGCTTGATAAATAAGGAAATCCAACTTGTGAGACCTTCTTTTCTCTTAATAATGGCTACTAACTGATAACTTACGACTTTCTATACATAAGCGGATCTGGAATATGAGGTAAGGAGGTTTCACTTCTTTTTAGGTCGGGATAAGGCCAACTCCATTTCCTGGGTGAGCTTTTTTTGTTTCTTTTGTTTTTATTGTTTCAATTTATACAAGCGCCTTCAAAAGTTCCTATCGTCTGAACTGTTCCAACTTCCAAAACATTTATAGTTTACAAGTCGAGTTCAAACAACGAAGAAAAAAAAAGAAACAGAAAGAAACTCACCTAGGAACCAAAACACTAATCATTTTACGCAACATCAACAGGTGAAAACTTTATAACCTCATGTATAAGCTCGACGAATGAAAAAAGAAACAATAAAAACCTACCCTAAATGAAGCTCTCACGCTTTTTGCTCATTTCTATCCTGAATCAAGAAAGAAAATAGAAAACAAAAGCCATTAAGTTGGGTTCACCTTTCTTTGTGTCAAACCAAGCTTCAGTATCTAAGAAAATTGCAGTTAAAGGAAAAAAAGCATGAAATTGAGTCGCTTCTTCCCAAAAGCCTTCGGAGCGCAAGTAATAGCGTTGGGGCGCGCTCTGCCATGTACCGACGATCGCCGCTGCTGTCGTGAAGTATGAACGCTGTCTAAGCTCAGGAACCTGTCTCGCTCCAAGTTATGTGCTACATGACACATACTATCCGCGTTGTTGTTGCCATCATAGGGACGTGTAGTAGTAAGCAACACTTGGAACAGACGTTAACGTAACGCATTTCTGAAGCTTCACACAATGGCAAAATCCCATCCATAATATTATAGGTTATT